TTGGGCCTTCTCCTAATAGCCTTATTTGACCTTTAACCTTTGACCTGACACAAACACACTGAACATTATATATATGGATTTTTCTTGGTCTATATTTAGAAAGAGAAGATAATCTTCGTTTCGATTATTATGATGTATCAGCAACAACATTTAATGATTTCAATGATGATCAAGATAGAACAACTCATACACAAAAACAATATCGTAATCAATTAATTCGATTACTTATGAACGATAAAGTTTTGACTAGAATTATTACACCATTTATTCTTCAATTATATATGAATGATTCTGTTCAAGTTCTTTGTACAATAATTGAAAAAAATTTTCATGATAATCAAATACAATGTCAGAAAACAATCAATTTTGTTTCACATTGGTTAACATTAATTGAGGATGATGAAATAGATTCATTTAATTCTTCATCAAATCATGATATATGGCGATTAGCTCATATTTATACATTATTTGAATATGAACAAAATGATATTCTTTCATTTTATTCTGCTTGTCGAATAATAGAAAATCTTGATGAAAATCAATCATTCTATAATGATCTATTAGCTGATGAAGAACTAACACGTTCAAAAGTTCGAGAACATTTATTTCGATTAATGTTTCATCATTTATGGACTAAACTTTGTAATTTATGTCAAACAAATGAAAATATTAAAGAATGGATACATAGTTATACATTAATTTCAAAATATTATCCATCAGAACGAGTTTTACAACGAATGGAATATGTTCATATGAAAGTTAAAATTGAATTTATGAATTTAGTTTATTTAATATTACTCAATGATAAAACACCACAACCTATTAAACTTGTTCAACAATTATTAAATAAAACATCACTTATAAAAGATGATATTGATTTTTGTTATATTAATCTAGATGGATCAAGTTGTCTACAATTTTTTTCAATTATTATTCAAATAATAGATCAAGATTTTAAAGAGAATAATATTAATAATAGTACATTAATAATTGATATTCAACAATGGATTATTTCAACATTAAAAGGATCAAATCGATCATCACATCAAGAAATTATTTCTCTATTGAAATTTTTAAATCAATCAACATGTCATTTATCATTACCAATGAAACAATTTATTTTTGATGAATTAATGAATATTTTAATTGAAAATAGTCAACGAAATCGTTTAAATATACATCGACCATTTACTAATTTTTGGGATCGTCTTTGTCTATTGTCAATAATAATAGAATGTATAACAAATGAAGATTTAGAAAATTATCAAATACCCTATCATCCATCTATTATTACTAATAAAAATCAAAATTATATATTAATTGATTTATACTTTTTTCATCTTCGACGATTAGCAAATAATGAAACAATACGACTAGATTTAATCAATAAAATTCTTCT